GAATCGCTGGCAACAAGCAATAACCACCGTCTGGTATGTGCCATACTTACAGGGGCTTTAAACTCCACACTTGCGTCATGAAGAACAAGTGTGCTTTTGGTATCCCTGCAATCCCTACCAGTGGGCGCAGGCGCTAATCCTTCGAGCGCAGCCCAGCGGCAGGGAGTAGACGAGGCAAATTAAAACCGCAGGGCGATTTGCATGTCGAAAAGACGGGATTTAACCTCGTAGAGTGAGACTCGCGTTTATCCGTGCAAACGGCGCTCTCGATATTGGGACAACTCCTGGCATCTCCGGCTCCCAAGATTGCTTTAGCCATACTGTATAACAACTGAAATGTGAAGGACCAAAGAATTGCGCGGAATTTTATTGAATTCCCAAGTTCAAGCGCCTTGCAACACACAGGTCCTGTCGACATGCAGCCTGTCTGAACGAGCCAGCCCCTTTCGAGACACCTACAACGACAAATAAGTACTAGGCACGTAGCATTTAAAGTCATCAGACCAATCAGGGCTGGTTACCGCTACCCCTTGGGACCCCTGTTCAGATCTATGCAAGACCATCCAACTTCCTCCCTGGACTATTGGTTCGCTGAGTGTATTGGATACTTCCAATCGCAACCCTTTAATCAGCATTGGCGGTGTACTAGTTACTGATAGCGGAATGAGGAGAATTCTGGTCCGCGCTGCCAAGGAGACGAGCCCCAAGAAGGATATGCGCTTCGGGGGCCTTTTCCAGTACACACATGATGTACATGCTGCTTGACCCTTGGAACTGTTGTAATTTTGCTCGGGACATCCACGTAACCCCAGACAAACATCTGGTGTCCGGCTAGGCCTGGCCTCTCCTGTGTCCGAGAGTGGTAGTAGTAGGGAGCCAGGTTCTTCGTTTGTCTCCCCGGTATAGAGGACCTCCCTTCCTTTTGAAGTATTCGAGCCTTCCTTTTTGGTAGAAGAAACTACTCACGATCTTGACGTTCGCTTCCCTACCTTTCTAGGTCATTCTGACCATTTGCGCTCATTACTATCGACTTGTTGACCACTCTCGTTTTTCCTTTTCGGATTTTCTGTATTATTTGAAGTTTGCTCTATCCTTCTGTAACCACTAGGTAAGAACTGAGTGCTCGTTCGTGTATTAGTTCAGTAACGGCCGTGTGCGTATCGACTCGCGCGAAGAGAACCCGTTATTTGCAACAGAGAGACACCGGAGATATCGATACCTGAGGAATAGATCATAAACACACCGGATAAACCGAAAAAAAAACAGTCTTTTTCAGACTAGTCTTTTCGATGATGCTGCCGCAAATGGCCAGTCGCCAAAGTTGCAGGTGGTGTGATGTAACCGACCAAGTCTTTGTCAACCACCGCCTCGACGACAACACGGATACAACGGCACTGGCTAAAGAGCCAAATGTCATAATTGGCAGAGCCATGGTCTACACAATTGCCAGCCATTTTACGCGTTGCGAGGCGCGTGAAGAATGGTGTACAGCCCACCTGAGGTAGTGCCTCTCGCTGGAATTCAAAGTCTCGGCGCGCGACCGCGGGGTTGGGCTTCAGGCCCGGGCTTCTAGTTGGAAGCCGATAAAGACGTTCTGTCAACTCGTTGAGGAGTGTTTCCAATTTCACTGAACTGGTTGCAAGCAGCTAATGCCTTTTTTTCTTCTTGTTTTGAGTTCTTGTCGCAAGAAGTCTCAGGAAGACGTTTATATTTGTGCGAATACCGACCCCGACGTTGTTCTTGGTAAGAGCCTCGAGATGTCTGCCAGCCCATGCACTTACATGCTTTGTCGAACACCCTGGATTGGCTTCTCTTTTGTGCGTTGGGAACGGAGGATATCCAATAGCGACAATAACCCATGGCCCCTGCATCGAAGGACCTGTCGAGGCGTGATATGTCAAGCGGCATAAGCAAACGTGGAAGATGTAAACCGACACCCAAACCCAAGGAGGGGACTGCGGATGGATTTGACCAGCCGACTGCCAGCTGTCGGCACCTGCGAGAATTTAAGGCGTCAGGCGTCAAGTGTTGCGCCTGCCTTGCCGGCCATTCAGTGTAGACCTGGTGCCTCAAATGTGCCCAAGTGACCTCTCCTCCCAGCAAGTGCTGGTCGCCTGCGCCTGCCTCGGGTGCTATTTCTGGTCACCTCAAGATTTTCTTGTCGATTCTCTCACTTGCTTGACGGACTCTTCTTCCTCCCCGGCCTCCCTTTGTCATCTCTCGTCTGCGAGCAACCGCCGAGTCAACACGGATTTTATTAGACGGCTAACATTCGTTCCATAGAAAGACGTTTCTGTTGCGACTTCTATTATTCCACCAGCACAAACCTCATCCGCCTACCGCCTGAGTGCCTTGATAGTTTCTGAATTTGGTCCCAACCTCAAGAGCTGGTATTCGCAATGCTCAAATCCGTGGCCTTGTCTGCAGGCCTCATCGCAGGCGCCAACGCCTTTTGGCGTATGGAATGTCCTGGTCGAGTTGGTCTTGCTCGAATGGACCCAATCATCAACCCGAATGAAGCTTCTCCTCACGCACACACCATCCATGGATCCAATGGTACGTCATTTCCGAGCTTGGATTTTGTCTTTTCACAGCCTTTGGGTGATCTCACAGCGCCAGACGGGACTGTTCACTGCTGTGGATAATCCTCGTCAGCAGATGGCTTGCGGTGTTGTAGAGAGGAACCTCCACTTCGAAAGAAGACTGTAGAAAACATCCCTGGTGTAGTTACTCTTGGTGGAGCAATGTGAGGAATACGACGTGAATACTAACATGAGCGATAGGCTTCTCAGAAAGCGCGACCACCGCCGACCTACTTGACGGCGATTGCACTTCATGCCGTGTTACTCAAGACAAGTCCGCCTACTGGACTCCCACTATCTACTTCCAAGACGCCAAAACCGAGAAATTCGAAATTGTCCCCCAAGTCGGCGGAATGCTTGCGTAAGTGATGTCCTATGCTGCACGACGATATGCCAGTTGCAAATAGCCCCTGACTGTTCCTGTTAGGTACTATCTCCTTTACGGAGATAACATCACCGCCTTTCCTCCAGGATTCCAAATGATTTCTGGAGACAACGATAGACGAACCTATACGCTGGGAGACGCAAGGCAACCAGATCCTGATAGATCACAATGGGCTGCCCTTGGCCAGACCACGCAGGAAGCTCTGGCTCAACGCGCGATTGGTTTCAATTGTCTCAACTATGCCAAGAACCCCGAACAGACGTTATATCGACACTACCTTCCGCCAAAGGCCGAGTTGGACCAGAACTGTACCGAGGGTGTCCGACTCGAGATCATGTTCCCGTCTTGCTGGAAGGGCGGCAATGCCATTGACAGTGAGGACCACAAGAGCCATATGGCTTTCCCTGACCAGGTCATGACGGGTACCTGTCCGGAAGGGTACCCGGTCCGAACGCCCAGCATACTTTATGAGACCATCTGGAACACCTATGCCTTCAAGAACCGTGACGGCCGTTTTGTCGTCTCCAATGGCGACACTACTGGTAAGTCTTCTCCGTTACAGTAACAGCTGACACGTTTGTATACTAACGGGGCTAGGATATGGCTACCATGGCGACTTCATGACGGGTTGGGATCCCGAATTCCTCCAGAGAGCCATCAACCAGTGCACCAACCTCTCCGGCCTTATCCAGGATTGCCCTATCTTCGACGTCGTCGACAAGGAGGAGGCAACCTCTTGTAAGATCAAGAAGCCACTTCTGAAGGCATTGTTTGCTGAGGATGTGGTTGGGCCCATGGCCAACCTGCCTGGAGGCATCAAGGTTGGCCAGGTTGGTAGTGGCGATCACGGCAAGAAGCCTCCTGCCGCCTCTAAACCGGCCGCCTCCAGTTCCGCCTCCAGTTCCGCCCAGAGTCCGGTCAGCAAGCCATCGGCTGCGGTCTCTCCTCTCCCCGGCCTGGCTTTCAAAGAAAACGCCCCCTCTTCTTCATCGGTACCTTCGCCGACGACCACTTCCGTGACACCTCCCCCGCCGCCTCCGACAACACCGTCCGTTCAGCCCAGCTATTACAGCACCGAGTACATCACCAACGGCAACCAGGTAACCCAGATTCTCTGGGTGGAGAAGTGGGTTACCGTAACGGATTACGGCAACTCGCCTGCTCCTACACCTGCCAGGGCTCACGACCATCGACGTCGCCACATGCGCCATGGACATGTTCATGGCAAATTTTGATGGAGTTTAAAATAACAAAATTAAAGCGGTAAAATAACGTTGCTGATTTAAAGTTGTGTTTTTTCGCAGTCTTTTTCTTTCTGGTAGGGGAACATTGGTGCCATCTGGGCGGGTTCCAGAAATATGGGCTCACATTCGTGTTGTATGGTTGATATCATAGTTGGCTTCACTTGTTTTTTTCTTTACATAGAGCAGAGATGCTACCGTTTCTTCTTGGTAACTATAGGGGTTAAATCAAGCAACGTGCCCAAATTCAATTGTTGCAATGCGAGCCGCGAGCCGCGAGGCCGAGACGCCCGGCGCCAAGTGCGACGTGGGCTGACCTTGACTGACGATGTAACAAGACATAAGCACAACAGACTTTCATTCTCTGAATGCACTCGCATTGTTACCACATGAGCACCCAAAGAAGTTGATGAGTGGAGCTCCAACTTTTTCATTGGCAAAGCAGCTGCTTGCAAGAGCATGAAGGGTGGTGTTGCTGACAACTGGAATGAAGTCACACTGGCAACGCATTCCTCGAATTGCTGGAGTGGGACAGACCCAAACACCACCCAGGAGCTTGACCAATGTTTATGCCCAGAGAAACAAAATGACAAAATTTTCCTTGACCAAGCTGGCGTGCTAGATTTCCCAGCCATACTAACGAAGCAGCAGTACGGCGACTGAAACCAAGCCTCGTCGACCGACCAGTGGTAGTCGGCGTCAATTTGGCCAGTCAACGAGACGGGCGTCGAGTACCCTCCAATGCCCCAAGTCGTCTGAGAAGGGAAAGGAAAAAACAAAGAACAAGTCATGATGGATGTTTCGGTTCTTCCAAAGAGAGATGGTGGCTCGGGCGGACTGAGCCTGGGAGGGTTGCTCGCCATTTCGCTCTGCGGCGGCATAGTGTTATTCACATCCGTCGGCCTTTTCATGGCATGGAGAGTCAAGGTCCGTCAGAGGCGAACCACGAAAAGAATGTACACGATGCCCGATGAATACTCCAAGACTCGTCTGACAAAACGACCGCTCGTCATGACCGAATCGGCCGTCGGCAGGCTTCCGAGCCGACTATCCTCTCGGTTCTCACTTACACTGCCACCAATAATCCCGCTGCCTCCAATGTTGTCGTACAATAACCTCAACTTTTTCCGATCGTCCAGCAAGCGGCGTGCAGAGAGGAAGAGCTGGGTCAACGGCGAGGAATTCCATGGGCCGAGTGTGAAGAAGGATTCGAAAGACGGCTGGTTTAGCAGGGATAGTTGGATTCGACAGGTTCCCACGATGCCGAACATCAGGGTTGCCGAGGAGGGCGGCGACGGAACACGTGATGCTGGACGGCAGAACAGCCAGCACAGACCGTCGTACGAGGAGTATCGGAAGCAGCAGCAGCAGGGAGAACCGTACCAGTTTCAGAACCACCCACCGTATCATCAGGAACCGCAGGCGATACATGTGCAGAAACGGAGGAGTGGAAGCACCCTCCCGACCAGCCAGACGACGCCGAACCTGTCTTCACAAGACGATGTTCCCAGGGGTCGTCAGTCTGCCGTGCGTACACCGGCCCAGGCACATGTGCGGCCGTCCGTGACCATGACGGAGATGGGGCTGAGGGACATCTTGCGCTCGACTGACCAGCGTCTGCGGGAGGGATCCAGCCGATCCCCTGCCAAAGATACGCCGCAAACGTCGCCAACTCGTACATCGCCGGCAAAGACTCCGTCAAGCCGCAAGTCCGAATCGGGGCGGGCAGCTGGGCGGCATAATAGGGGGACACCGAGCCCCAGCAAGCCCGGGAACACGGCTGCTTTGCCGACTCAGGCCTCGGCCGCTTCGATTGGAAGCGTGGCAAACAGTCTGATTGCCGAAGCCACGCAGGAGCTTAAACTCCCAGAAGGCATGCCTAGTCCCCGGCGCGTTCGAGGGCGGGAATGGGAGCCCCAGGACCATCAGATTCTGCCGCCGAGCTTGCCAGGGCTGGAGAGTCCAAGCCATAGGAGTGACAGCCCTCAAAGGAGTCCCCAGCGAAGCCCGCAGCGCAGCAGCCCCCAGAAAAGTCCGTCAAAGAGACGGTCGGCGGACAGTGACCAGTCGAGCTCCCTGTCCACCTTGTACAGCGTCGGGGAGCCCGAGAGCGAGGAGCAGGAGATCCAGCGGCAGTATTTCCTCCAGCAGCAGAGATACCGGCAGGAAGAACTGCAGGCGCTGACCGCAGGGGACGACCCATTCACCGACAACGGCCGCGCCCGCGGTCGTCACGTCAGGCAGAAACAGGAGCAGCCCGCCGGCCCCCGGCCGCTGAGGCGCACCAAGACGATGAGCCCAAGCGTGCTCACCACCCGGGCGAACACGTCTCCCATTTCCCAGCCACTGCGGCCGCTGTCGGTCAACTCCAAGAGCGGCCCTGGGCGCGGCGTTGATCTCCAGGTTGCGCCGCCGCGCCCCCTGACGCTGCGGGCCTCGCGCATCGTGGGATCCGGCGACGTGGCGGCCAAGCGCGCGCCGGAGCAGCAGCAGCCTCCCATGCCGGAACCGCAGCCAGACTGCAGCTTCACGTCAGACTCGGTCGGCAGCGACGACTCGGAGGCCACGGCGCTGCCGGCCTGCGAAACACCCAAGGCCGAATGGGTTGCTGCCGCCGCGGACCGCACGGAGGGCAGCCCGCTCACACCGGGGGCCCGCGGCGACAAGGACGCCGACCTGTCGTCGTCGCCCTTTAGCGAGCAGGAGATCCTGTCCATGCTCCTGGCCAGCGGGGGCAACAGGCGGGCGCTGCCGCATCCGCCGGCGGCAGTGGCCAGCGCAGACGGCAGCGTCCTCCCGACGGGCCTGTCTCCGCGCCCGTCGGTCAAGAGCGCGGCCAGCTCGCCGCGGAGGAAGCTGTCGGCCGCCAGCTCGTGCAGCTCCAGCCTCGCGACGCCGTCTCGCCGGGCGGCGGCGGCGCGCCGGTCCAGCAGGGACGCCGCCCCCGCGCTGGGCGCGACGATCGCGCAGCTGCGCCGCATGAACAGCGTCGTGAGCTCCTACAGCGCCGCGTCCGTCGCGTCGACCGCCACCGTCGGCGCCGGCGCCGCCGAGGCCGACTCGCCCACCCTGCCGGGCATCTTCACCGGCCAGCCCGCCACGCCGCGGAGGCAGCTGTCGCGGCCCGAGGCCAGCGGCAGCAGGCACTACCTCAACGTCGGCAAGGACAGCGGCGGCGGTAGCAGCGGCAGCCTCCCGAAAAACCACTGGTCCACGGCGGACCTCGACGGTGCGGGCTTCGGGCGCCGGCGCAGACAGGACCCGATGAAGCCCCGCGGCGGCGGTAGCCCCGGCGGCAAGGAGAACACGCTCGAGGGCGTGGAGGAGGGCGGGGGCACAGCAGCGCGGCCGGACGTCCGGGGCCTCCGGGAGGCGTGGCTCAGCGCGACGGCGCCCTCGCCTGCGCCCCCTTCGCCGGCGGCGCGTCCTGCGCACTCGACGTTCCGGCTGAGGCAGGGCCCCGTGGCGGACTTGCTGGCGCGCGAGGGGCGCGCGGCGTGGCGGGACAGCGCGGAGAGTTTGGGTTTGTACGACAGAGACGGCTTCTTGCTGCCGTCGCCGGAGAGGGAGGCTCGGGCGCGGCGGGGGAGGGCGCTGCGCATTTAGGGCGGCCGCTACGGTCTTGACATGCAATCACTGGTGGTGTTTTGGTTCTTCGTTTCTTGTGTAGACCTTGTTCTTCTTGGCCCGAGATGTAGTTCGCCTGGATATATTTCTGCCGTCACATAGAGCATGTTCCTTTTGTTATTCCTTTTTTTTACGTTTCATGTACAATAGAGCGGCGTTGTAGCTAAGCTAGGCTATTTCCTTAATACCCCAACTGTTCAATCATCTCAGGCGAGTTAATAAACGCACATCTCGTCCTCAACTTCTGCCTCTCGAGGGCACTATTCGCCCCAGGCCCATCAATCGGCGACAAACCCTCGCCTGGACCGCCCACCACAAACACATTCACCCTGCCGTCGTGCGTAAACGCCGGCGCGAAGCCCTGCAGCGTGTCGTGCCCCTCGAGGCTAGGCCGCCCGGTACTCGCAAACGTCGACCACGAGCGCGACCCCCTGTCCCGGAGGGCGTAGTCGGACTGGCCGGGGGCGTAGTCGTAGTCCCCCGTGTCGTAGTGCGAGAGGTTGCCGAAGATGTAGGCAAACTCGGAGGTGTGGATGGGCCCCATGCCCGGACGGCGCGCGACCTGCGTCAGGAAGGTGTCGAGGACGGTCTGGTTCCAGTCGTACAGGTAGACGGGGTTGCCGGCGGCGGCGAGGTGCTCCGCGTACCCGAGGGGCTGGCACGTCATGACGATGTCTCTGAAGATGCGGGCGGAGCGGTAGAACTCGCTGGAGGCGTTGGCCGCCGGGTCGGCGGAAAAGTCGGACGCGGGATACAGCGCCTCGAGCTGGCGGATGTTGGCGGGCGACACGGAGGGCGCGTAGGCGGTGAGGAAGGCGTGCGTGTCACTGGCGGTGGTGATGTTGGCGTCGGTGAAGAAGGTCGTGTCGTCGTCGCACCAGCCCATCATGGTGGTGACGTTGGAGAAGCGGTGCTCCCGGATGAGCTGCGAGGGCGGCGCGGGCAGGAAGTCGCCGTCGACCGAGGGCAGCCAGATGTCGCCGATGTTGTGCGCCGTGTCGGACTGGTACGTCGCCAGCGAGGCGTTGAGCACCTTGTCCGTGGGGAAGCTGCGCAGGCACGCGATGGTTTCGGCGGAGCCGAGGGGCGTCTTGTTGCAGCCGACGTGGTCGACGAGGGCCTGCATGGCGTTGGTGGTGAAGTTGCCCGTGATGCCGGGCTCGAGGGCCTGGCTTTCGGCAATGGCTTGCTGAAAGGGGGCCGGCTTGGAGCCGCCGTAGGCCATGATGTGCATGCCGATGGAGAGGCCTGGGGCTGTTAGTGTCTGTTTTTGAGTGTTTTCAAGGTTGCGCATGTGCATGGTACATACCGCCGGAGGACTGGCCAAAGATGGTCACCCGGTTGGGATCGCCGCCAAACTGCGCAATGTTGTCCCGAACCCATTCCAGCGCGAGACGTTGATCTTTCAAGCCGGCGTTCTCGGAGCCTTCTTTTCGAAGGGCATCCGACCGTGCGAATCCAAAGACTGCCGGTGATCAGCTATTGCCCTCTGGTACCATGGAACCATACTCACAGCCCAAGCGGTAGTTCATGGCCACGTGGATCACGGGCAATCCATTCTTTACGCTCTCGAGAATCATGCCGTCCGGCCGGATGGTAATCTCCTCGTTGCTGCCGGCCCAGAAGCTCCCGCCGTGGATGTACACCATCACGGGCAGCTTCTCGCCCCCGACAGACGTGCCCGCGGGCCGCGCAATGTTGAGATTCAGACAGTCCTCGGAGACCTTGGTCATGTTGGTCAGTGATATCGGGGGCACCCACGGCCCCAGGGCCTGCGGACACGCCGGGCCATAGGCAGTGGCGTGAATGGCGCTCCCGCGCCGAGACGAATGCGGACGCGGCGGTCGGAACCGGTTCTCGCCGCTGGTGTCCTGGCCGTAGGGGATGTTGAGAAAGACGTCGATGCCGTTGCGGCTGAGCCCGTGGTAGGTGACGTCCTTGTCTGCGTCGTGGACGACGGGACCTGCGCCCGCGCAGGTGAGGACCGGCGACGCGGCGAGCAGCAACACGGCGAGAGGCTTCATTGTGTAATGCCGAGCTGTATTGCTGTGTATAATGGGGAGGGAGGAACAGACGAGACAAAACGAGCGAATGGAGCCATGCTTTATCAACGAGCTGCCGCGCTCGTCGCCTCGAGGGGACTGGACTGGACTGGACTGGACGGGCCGACTCTTGTTCTAGACAACCGTGCATAGATCCATATAGTAGTATTAAACCTTCATGTTAGCCGCGGACAGGGGATCGCCTGCAGATGGCCAATTGGCGATGTGGGAGATACGAAGAGGGCGGAGAAGTCCACGTCTGCATGAGCCCACCGGCCGCTTTTCTTCTCTTGGGAAAACCGGAATCGTGACATTTGGGGCTCCGGAGCTGGGGGCGAATAGTCGACGGCCATGTCGTCTCAAGTAGACACCTGGGCCTAGTTCCGACGAGTCAATTCATCTATTCGCGACATGAAAAACTCGCATTGCCACGTCCATGGCTGCGCCCGAGTCAAATACACTTGGCCGCCGTTGCCGAAATGAAACTGTCCGATGTCAAGTGAGACATTTCGCTCGTCCGATCATGGCTTGCAGGACAATGACCCAGCAGCCCGTCTCCGATGCGACGTGCATCTTTTATTTCATTGACCCCGTTCCTACACCCAAACGCCCTGCTCTATTGTATAACGAGTACTCCGTACGGAGTGCCATGTAGCCTGATGAATCTACTCAACCCTTGGGCGCTTGCTCTCGGCGTCGTCGCCATTGACGCCATCGTCGTCAATCTCCTCTCTGGGCCTTGTCCTGCCCGCGCCATCACCCAGCTCCTCTGCCTCGCCCTCTCCATTGCTGCCCCCAATCCAATTCCCGTCCTCGTCGAAATACTCGTGCACGTTTTCCGCAGTAATCCAACCGCCACTGCCCGGCATGGGCGGCGGCAATCCCCCGTCGGCCGTGCCGCGCAAAACCCCCGTGAACCCCTCGACGGCCTCTTGCTCCGCGTTGCCCTCAAATACTATGCGGTCGTAGTCGTTTTCCTCGTCCCCGTCTTCGTCTCCGTTGGTCGGATCCGGGTGCAAGTTTGAACAATTGGCAATGGCGTCGTACAGCTGCTGCGCCGTCTGGGGCGGCTCGCTTGACGCCGGCACAATCGTAAGCTCAACCGTGTTGAAGTCGTCGTCGTCGGCGCCGCCGTCCGAGAACTCTAGCTGCATCCATATGGCCGGGGTGCTGGTGCCTTCACGCGCGCTGACCTGCTTGACAGCGTGGATGGAGATGGAAGGGTAGGGGATTGAGACGCCCGACTCGGTCTGTTCGCTAAAGATTGTAAAGTGTCTACGCCCATTGTCAGTGTACACGGCCCCTCGAGGTCGGTGGTTGGAGGGTCGGCTCACTCTGAGTTCACAAAAACATCAACCTTTTGCTCAACCAGCCCCTCCGTGTCACCGTTTGTGCTCTCCACGGCATTCTCGGCCGCAGGCGAGTCCGCGGGGAAGATGGCCAGCGTGCCGCATTGCGCCCTGGGGATGGATGCGACAGCTCCCTTGAGGTGGAAGTGCAGCACTGGTTTACCGCCGCTGAACGATTCTGGCGTTTGGGACTGGTACTCGGAGAGGGGGGTGTAGTCGTCCACCGAGGGCGGCGACCGTATCGTCGTGGCGAGCATGATGGACGCCGTGGAGGGAGACGGTTGAGAGGACTGACTGCCACCAGACTGTTTGAGGACGCCGGTGCTGGAGCTTTGCAAATTCATCGCGGGGGAGCTCTGAAGGTGAACTGACCAGTTCAACCCGTATCTTATCGGAAGTGGGGGCATGACGATTCTCCGCAGCAGGAGCACCATCGTAACGGCAGTCCGCGTCGTCTCCTCGCGAGTCGAGACGAGGCTCTCGGGAGGCATGGCTTCATCGTCCACACCTCCACTCCTCAACGCCCGTTTTCGAGCTCTTCATACACGCAAAAAGACACAACACACCACACAACCTTGCCTGTTCAACCGCCTCCCTACGGCTTCTTCTCACAGGCTCGTGACAAACTCCTCATCAACAACAACCGCACCTTGGCACAACACGCCCAACATACACCATGCACAGCAATCGTATGCGCCACCTCCTCTCTCCCCGCCGGCGTCCTGCTAAGCTAACAGCTAAATAGGCCCTCACCCCCTGCTAGAGCAGGTCCCCCTCACCGTGTCCCCGTTTGTATCTCTCCCAACGGCAACCACGCTCTCCTACAACTACAAGACAATGCCCTCCAACATCCCCCCCTCAGCAATGGGAATCCCCACGGCATCCGAAGACCCCTCACAGCAGCCAAAGGCGCGCTTCGTCGTCTCGGGCTCCGGCCATGCCGCACACCCCGACGACATCATTGACTCGTGCAGAGCGCTCCTGGACCACGTCACCAAAGTCCAGGAGAGCGCTGAGCGGGAGCTCCAAGAATTCGAGGACCAGATCAAGCAGCGCGACTTAGCCGAGAAGAGGAGAGTCGCGCCCGGCTGGCTGGACAGCGAGTCGCGGCTACTGCAGCCAGAGAGAATGTCGGCACAGGCTGGGCCGACCGCGGGAGCGACGGCGCAACATCAGCAACAACAACATCCGCCGCCAATGGGGGATGGGACGGCACAGCCGGTGGTTGACGCGGGGGCAGAATTGGACAGGGCGTTTGGCGGCATGGCTCTGAAGTGAGAATCTTCTTTTTCTTTTTTTGAATATATTTCGACACGAGTTACGAGCTACCATGAGCACTTGGAACATAAACTGTATTCAATGGCGTTGTATTATATAATTGTCGTACGAATTGAGCGACCTCTGGCTTTCGAGTATATGCTTACATGAAGTTGTCAGCAAGATCCCTCATGCCCGTATCCTGAATTCGCAAAGTTAAAACATGTTGGCGGCAATCAAAACGGCCACTCCAGCTACGACACGGCCGGAAAGCATGTTTTGCGATGCCCCGGCTGTGACGGTTGGAGCATGACTGGCGGTCTGCCATTTTTGTCAGCAGTGTTCCGAGCATATGCTCTGTGGCACTCTTACAGAATTGTGACCGGGGGCAACATCAGACGCCGCGGTGGTTTGAACGACAGATGTAGGCGCCACTGGTCCCGAAACCGAACGGCTTTCCGCATGGGTAGACTGGCCTGGAGGCGTCTGCTGAGCTGCCGTAGTGATGGGAGTGGTGCTGGGAGCTGCAGTCCCCGATCCAACCTGGGATGAACCACCGTCGTCAACGGGCTTGGGAGTCGCGTCCAGGCCGCACTTCCCGGCGGCGGCGCTGACCTTGTCGCCGTACCACTGCCAGATCTTGTACTTGAGGGCGCAGTCGAGGCAGTCGTCTAGGAGCTTCACCCAGGACTGGTCCTGACAGTAGCCATCCCTGGCGGAGTTCTGGATGGCATATCCTACCGACAAGTTAGTCTGGCGGAAATCGTGTCATTGGGCACCCACGGCGGTGTACTGACCACAACTGGCGTGGCATTGATAAGCAGGACCCGAGGTCTGACGCTTCGCCATGGGGACAATGTCGGGAAAGTTGAAGTCCGGGTTGGCAACGGCCGCGGCTAGGGATGCCACCGCGCCGATGGCGAGAGCAGAAGCAGTGAAGCGCATCTTGCTGGACGCAGTGCTCAAACAAGTGACGATTGGAAGAAGCTGATGGAGGTTCTACAGAAACGGCCAACAGAAACCGACTGGGCAAGAGGGTCGACGCCGGAAATGTCCCCGGAGGCATGGTCCTTATATACAGCTCGACCAGATACAACAGCAACAAATGCAATCCCTGTACCCGAGAGCCATGAACCACACGCGCAGACTCCATGCAACCCAAAAGTGCCTCTCCCAGTTTGCCCGATTCTACTTGTGTCTCCCGGCACATTCTTGTTGGGGATCTTTCTTGGCCTTGACTGGAACCTGGGGAAGGCTTGCCAAGGGTTCGTCAACTTCCCCTCCCCAAACTCTCGGCGCCGATCGGAGGAGCATCCTTGGCCTATAAATCAACCTTGGGCGGATACGAGGACTTCATCATCAGCCAATAAACCAATTTGCGCCTATGCACTCGCATGCGAAGCAGACAGTGAACTTGATTGCCGTGCGTCGGCCGTCAAGTGGCGCGGGACGGACCAATGGAAGTGGCACGCTTCATCTAACATCTCTTATCTGATCATCTGATAACTCGCCCCCCTGCCAATATTTGCCTCGCCGGCAAATCAATGGCTGCAGCGGGTTGATGGGACTTGGCAACCTGCCTTTCATGGCGCACGGCGTGGGTCGGGGCCTCTCGGCGATTCGAGGACGATCCGTGTCTGCGGGGATGGCTTCAATGTTCTTTGTTGCCAGCAGCTTGGATGCTACCACACTAGTTTTAGACCATTCTCTTTGTGCGAGTGTGCCGTTGCATCAATATGCTGTCGTGCACTTTGCTTTCAATCCTCCCGTGCATTTGGCAGGCCGGTGGGGGAGCGAATTGCCCAGTTGGATGAAGTTTGTGGTGATGAGCCATGGCTGTGATGGGTGCGTGTGTGTGTGTGCGCTTTCCATTAATACCGCTCGTGTTGCTCGTCTCCCACATTTGGGATTTCTCGAATTGATTATGAATCAGACAAATCAGTACGGCCTTCTTGAGTGAACCGCGTTTCGAAATGGCTCTGTTGAGATTGCTGGCCGTCCTGGCCATGGCAGCTTCGGTTGCCACAGCCGCCAACCCAACAACCTCCGACGACATGGGACCTGCGGCCTTTATGTGGCCGGAAGACAGAGTCTGGTCTGCCGCAGCTGATAATACTGCGCCTTGCGGATCAGTCGCTCGTGTGGGCAACCGCACCAATTTCCCGCTGAGTATGGAAGCACATATCAACTATGCTGTGGCTGCATCAACTCCGACCAACTAACCATGTGACAGCCAATGGTCAGGTTGCTCTTGTTGATCAAAAGGAAGCCCATAGCGTCCAACTAAGTATTTCGTACGATGACGGTTTGTTGCCCCCTGCATCATCTATATAAAAGCACATCGAATGCAAGAGCTGACGTCTTTGCTCCAGATCCCAAGGAAGACAATGACTTCACAACACTTATAAAGCCCGAGGCTATGGCTGAGTTGGACAAGGGACACACTTGCGTGAACGTCCAGAATCCACCACCCTCCATCAAGGCTGGAGCGAACGCCACTTTCCAGATCAAATACGTAGCCAGCTTTGACAAGCCCGACAAGGAGACGTTTTACGCGTGTGCCGACATCACCTATGTCGAGTTTGCCAACTTCAAGGAGAAGGTTCCGTGCTTCAACGCCACAGTGCCCGAGGACAGCAAAGAGGATACCCCTACGCCCACATCAGACGCGTCCAAGAACTCGAGCTCTGCGAGTTCCGGTCTCTCTGGCGGCGGCACCGCTGGCGTTGTCATCGGCGTTGTTGGCGGCGTGGCACTGATCGCCGTCGCTGCCTTGCTCATTTACAGACGAAAGCAGCAGCGTCTGCGAATGTTGCGACAGAAGTTCTCCCCTCGAAATATAAAACCGGATGGGCAGCATAGGGATTCGCCCTCTGTTAGAAGCGAATCAGCGTAGATCTTGTTAGTTGACTATCAAGGCAGCCAGGAGGGTTTGGGTGGAAATTCGAAGATTGTACTTGCCGTTTATATGCTTTCCTCGACGAGATAACAGATGGAAGGTGTGGTGCACGGAGAAGCGCTTAATGATTGCGACGAAATTGCCGTTGCGTGTTCTCGTGTCACACTTGCTTCGTTTGTGATTTTTGCGACCAGACTCTTTGTTGTCGCCACTGCGAGGCACGCTATTGCCGAGCGCTGAGGATGATGCTCTGTTAAGCGACTCGACATGAGGAAGGGGCCGGACCAAGCCTTCCAAAAGTGACATGAACCTGAGACCTCCCCCCTTCCATAAATCGTTGCCGTCTGCGTCACGCAAACACCTTTTCCATTCCCTCCACCATGCATTGTTTACTGCTCAAGGTCTTCCGTGCCTATCTGCGAACTCGACATTTCTTTCGACGTGTCTTTGGACGAAAGAAGCCTGACAAGAAGACCAAGTCTCACAAGAAGCCCGCATCGAGGAAAGGCTCTGGTAGCAGCCGTTCTTCCTCTCGTTCTTCCTCCCGTCCTACTAAAAAACGCTGCCCGTCAACATCATAGCCTACTTAGGCAACAGTCCCTTACGAAACATTGATTAGCAATACGTCGACAATTGCACGCAACTATGAAGTATATTCGTTTCATTACAGTACTTTTTCCTGTCGTGACTACGTGTTGGGTTCTCAGGGATGTCCCTCAGCCAGCCTCACCCGACTTTTCCTCGCCCGACTTTAAAATTACCGCCATCGAACGTTTTCCTTGGTCAGACATGGCTAAGAGGACTGGTGTTGACCCCCAAAAAATTATGTCGAATGCCTCCTCTAGCCGAAATCCACCCGTTACTTGCACTGAGGTGAGGCTGTTGTCAACCCAAGCCAGAACGCATCCAGCTGACAAGATTCTTCACAGGGAGCAGGCCCGAATATAGAGTACTGTCCCAGAGTCATGGCAGAGTGGATGAGATTGGCGGATAAGAAGGGGAGATTGCCTTTGAAAGGTGAATCTTGCAGGTCTATTGCCAACGCATGCTGCCAGGCTGTCGTTTGCGCAACATCGAGGACGAAGCTTCGAGTTCCCTTGGGTGAAGTGACTGGAAGAATGTGGTCTTCGTTGACAAAACGCTGCATTAACGGGGGAAAAGGTGGCGTTTGGTATGATGGCGGAGTGGATATGGTGAAGCTGTACATTCAGATGCTTCGCCCGCGGAGCGGCCAGTGTCCAGCTTGAGGTGGTAGGATTTCGGTCCATGTGCTCCCCTACAACACACGTAGTAACGATACAAATTCCTAGAGTAGTTTTTTATTATATTGAAAACAGCACCCTAATATAATCCTGGTGTTCTTCATACTAGTGGTGAAATCTTGGGGGTCCGTTGGTGGCGAGGACGACTATCCGTGATGTGGCATGGAAAATTGTGAAATCCACACACTAGGCGTCCTTTTCCATGTTTGTTACGATTTAGAAAACCATACCCTTGGTTTGCTTTCCCCTAGTCTCTTCCAATGTTCGCACATTGATGCTTCGCCACATGAATATGCATAAAATAGCCAGAGCCATGAAGCACGAGCCGCAGATGGCCATGACGCGCTGCACGTCGCTATACGCATGAATAATCCCATCTCGCGCAGGACTGCCCGCCGGGAGCGCCAACTGGGCCTCGATGTCGCCGTAAATAGTGGCCGTCTGGTTCTTGTAGTCGTCCGGCAGGTACCGGTACATCTTGTCCTCCATGGTGTTTGTCCACAGGCCGCCGGCGATTGCGAAGCCGATAGCCTGCCCGATGGAGCCGAACAGCCCGAACAGCGCAATGGCGACGGCAATGTGCTGGTGATCGATGGAGGCCATGATGGCGAGCTGGCCGGTCATGGCCCAGACGCCTGTCGCGAAGCCGTTGAAGAGCTGGCACATGACTAGCACGCCGACCGAGGTGCTGGGGGTTCGGAAACGCACGAGCAGCGCCGTGCCCAGGATGGCAAAGGGGATCATGGCGAGCGAGGGCCATTTGACGTTGCCAAAGTAGCGGATGTAGCTGGGGCGGTTAGCAGAGTTTGTCACCGGGGGAGGGGTATATGTGGCAGGCGGGCTTACACTCCGATGAGGGGGGAGATGACGGACGATGCGAGAGAGAACGAGTTCAGGATGTAGCCTGAGTCGGTGATGCTCTGGAAGTGCACGACCTCGAGGTATGACTGATAGTACGTGTCCCAGCAGCTACGCTGGTGTTAGTGGGTTGGTTGCGGACAAGGAGATGATGCGTCGGGAGTGCGTACAAGATGGAGAGGAACATGAAGCCGTAGAGTAGACAGGCGCCGAGAATGGTGCGGTCCTTGAGATACGCCCATGGGAAGTACTGGACGGGCGCAAAGTACTTCTCCCAGACGGCGAACAGGGCGAGCAAAACGACGCCCACGACAATCATGGCAATGACGTAGCCCGTCTTCCACCCGTCTGCGGCCGTGTTGACCAGCTGGAAGGGCAGCAGGAGAAGAGACCATCCGGCGACGGTTAAAAACATGCCGACGACTGGGGATATAGGTGAGCATCAAGGGGAGGGCAATACCAGGGGTGGGGCAGGAAAAGACTGACCGTCAAACTCGATGAAATAGTGCTTACACGACTCCCAGACTGTCCGGTTCCGGGGCCGCTCGGGATATACACCCATGCGCACGGCCTTTCTCTTGCTCAAGACGAAGACGATGGCAACGGGGACGGCGAAGAAGACCAGGATGATGCAAAACGAGTAAAAGGCCCAGCGGAAATTGGCATCGGCGTAGAACAGGTCGGCGATTCTGGGCCCCGCAAAGGTGGTGGCGATGATGGGCGTCTGCTGGATGCCAAACAGGATGAGCCTGTTGCGCAGGGTCGTCATGTCGGCGAGGATGATGGTGATGATGTAGCCGAGGCCAATGTGGCCAACCCAGTAGAGGGTGTGGCCGGCGGCGTAGGTGGGAACGTCTTGGCTGACGCCCTTTGTGATGAGGCCGACGACCATGAGGACAATCATGGCGACGAAGCCCTCGCAGCGGCCCCAGATGTCGATGATTTTGGCAATGGTGAGGGTGCACACGCCGCCGATGATGGAGGCGACGATGTCGGTGGCGGCGAGGAGGCCGTGCTGGCCAAAGGACGACGTGATGAAGTTTTGGAGGTTGCCTGTCACGGAGCCCTGGAGCTGGTCGATGAAGGAGACGAGGTAGAGCCTTGCGCGGACATGTTAGCAAAAGAATAAAAGGGGTGGGAAGCTGGCCGTGTGTCGACGACGTACAGGACAAACATGATGATGAGGATTTGTTTTGTCCACACGCTGGTGATTGCCTCGACCCGCTGGACACCTTCCTGCTTGTAGCTGGGCTCGGTGTCTGGTTTCTTGTCGTCGGCCTCATGGTTGGTGTTGATTTGGTCCTTTTCCACGTCGGAGGGATTTCTGTCTGGCTCCGGGACAAAGCCCGGTGTCGTCGGGTGGGTGATTTGCGGCGCCATTTTGAGCTGCTGCTCGGTTTCGTTTCCCAGAGAAAAGGTTCTTGACCCTCAACTCGAACTACAACGAGACTCGAGGTCTTTCGATTGTGGCACAGGATGCTTGTGAAGGCCGAAAAGGTGTCTTGCTACACATGACGACGACGGGCGTCCATTAATTATATCGCCAGGCAGGCCGCTCATCGGAAGCTTTTCAGCTAGTCACAACACAGAGAGATAATCGGCAAAGGCGGCTACGACCACAGGTGAAGAGAAGGGGACGATTACCCACCACGATGGCAGGGATTCCCATCAACCGCGGAGTACTGATTATCTGATGCCCGGGACCAACCACCACACGCGTAAGCCGCAAGCAAGAAGCTGGCTGCCCCCGGTTTGGAACTCCCAGAAAACGCCACATGAACGGGGGTTGGGCGACAATCAGCCGTCTGGACTGAGAAGCGGCGTCGTTTAGCCTTTATGTTGAGAACGGCCAAGACGAGCGAATCGTGGAAGCAGAGAGACAAGGTTTTGGGGCCGAAGGGCCCGCGCTGTGGAGCCGTGGTGCTGGCCAAGACGGCATCGCATTGCCGTCACGATGGACCGCGCAGTTGTGGTGTCCAGCTCTCGTTTTATCTGATCATCAGATAAACGATGAGTGGACAATGGTGGATAGCCTACTTGGCACTAAATCAGCCACTTGATGCGCAATGCCCCTCACCGTCTTTTTTTTTCTTGTTTCGTTTTGGTAATGCTAGCCGACGGCGGGAAAAATTTTGTCGGACTAGAACGTATTGCGTGTTGCGTGATGCTAATGAGTTTGCTTTGGGGAAATATCCTGGCGGTAGATGCCAGGATTCGTCCATCGTGGACTTGGGTGTTGGAGGGTCTGCCGTCTGGGCATGATAGAACTGGCAACTGCTAGCGGCTCCCCAGTAAGGGTCCGGCGCTCGGTAAATCCGCATTGACCAGGCACCTGGGCACTTGGCTGACAGATCGAGGCACTGCGAATGGCGGTCCATGGCCATGGTACATAGATTGCATCTGCACACGCAGTCATCATGTGCAGGAGAACCACCATGCCAAGGTACGGCGTTGCATTTCGCCAGGGCCACGAGCTTGGCGTGAGCAAGACTCTCTTAGTCCTAATCATAAGTAAGCATTTGCTTGTTTTTGGTGTTTGTCCCCGGAAATATTGGCTGATCCAACCTCGTGCGTCTTTTTAGACTTGGTGGAGACCGCCATCCAAAAACGGGGCTGTTGGGCAACAGCACCAGCACCAGCACCCGGTGCGAAATTACCCGTTGAGATCAATTTATTGGTTCGCGAATCTAGAAACTGTATCCTATGAGCATCCATTTGTTTGCCAAAACGACCGTTTCTTTATTCCTCCTCTTCTCCCCAGTTTAGTATGCTCTACGGGAAATGTCGGCCCCGAAGTCGGAACAAATGACGCCTCCACATGATGCATCAATGTTATCAATCCCGCATGTTGTGCGCACATCTGATGTGTAACCAGTATAATGAACTCTTCGCCCCTTATGCTCTTCAACAAGCTGCTCTTATTTAATGCTATAAAATACAAGTAGCTAGCTAGTATATGTTTTTTGCCTGTACTTGTATTCAAGTACCTTTAGCGGCAAGGTTCGCACCCCTGAGCCGACTGTCAACGGAATAGAGGGGTTTGGTCGCTTCGATTTTGTGACACTGTCTGTTTGCATAAAATTGTCTTGACACTATAAATTAGCAACCCGAGTCTCGTGCGCGTAAAGCAATTCCAATTTATCATGGCAACTCATCAAGGGGAAAAGCCCAGAAGCACTAGATGTAGCTGTGGGTAGAGTCTGGTAGCATTAACTACCCGTCGGCACGCACAAGTGATCAATTGATGTCGACTGGTCTGGTTAATGCTGGCGTAGGCAGGCCAGTAACGTTACGCAAGCTACGGCCGTGCACCAGCTGGCACCAGTTGTCACCAGTTGTCACCAGTCGTCATGCCACGACTCACTCACCACCATTGATCCTTTAAATGTTATGGATGCTCCCGTGGCTACCAAGTTCCATCGCCCGAACAACAACGACATCAAAAAATATCGCTATAATCGGAAGCCTGGATGCCGACTTGGTCGTGATTGCGAACCGCACCTTCTCGTGAATGAGCCAGAGGCGGCAATTGTGTCAAGACGTGACAGAGACGACGTCCATTAAGATACTTGGCCTGGCATCGCATGAGAATGTCAAAACCGTGGTACAGCCAACGTGGTTATTACACTTGGTACCGGAGGCATTCCACGCCGTTGCAACGGGGAGTGGTTATTGTACTGCATTTGATGTCCAAGTCGAGGATACCACTGGCGGGGGGTAAGTTCTATTTTCGCCTGTTAACCCTTCATATGTGTTTTATTTCTAATTGCGTTGATTTAGGGACGCTTTCACCGGCTCATATGCTTCGGATTATCGGCGGCAGAAGACCAGAGAGACGGGACATCAAGAGTGCGGTTGTTCGTGCGGACGCGTTGCCGCTATTACGATTCGAGCGTGGGAGCTTATGATGGTATCCCTTGGTCGGATGAGATTCACAATTTTGGTGCGCCTGATAAATCTCTCGCTGGACTTGGTAGTGAGGCTTAGATGATTGCGCATCATTGCGATCCAGACAAAGACTATGGTTCGAGAGGCAAGAAAGCATCCTTCATGTGACCCATGATCCCGGCCACCCTCACTACCTCAACGTTTTTGATACGCCATCTTCCTCAATCCGAAACACTATCTATTCTCGTTCGTTAGAATGTCCGCCGAAGACACGTCGGGTGCCAAGGTCTACTTGGTCTCCAACGATAATGCCACTTTGCAAGTCGGTAGGTGACTGCCCGATTTACTTACAGTTTTCACAGGCCGAAGAGTTCGTGATCCCGGCCACTACGAGGTTGCGGAGCTGAGTCTTCATTCAAAAGTCCCCTGAAGGAGTCTTTTGTGAAAACCACCGACTCTTTCATGTTGGCTGTTTCCCAAGCTGAATTATCAAGACACGGTACAGACATTGGCGACATTGGTTTACATTGTTCGTTACATGATTCACGACAGAATTATACATTTGAGTCGACTGTAGCTCCGTCTCAAAGATTACAGGGCAGTACATATCGCATGTTGTGTGACTTGCCAGTCTCTCCAAGATTCCATGGACCCCGCTAACTTGTCTTGCTAGTATTCACACCAAACATCGCTAAGCATCCTATGGCCTCTTCAGTTCGCCAATGTCGCCCTTTAGCTACGCGTACCGTTTTACCAAGCACAACTCGCATGTAAGCAACAGTAAAGTCGGCCAAACTCAACTCCTGCCTCGTCTAAATTTCTTAGACTGCATCTCCTGTTACTCGTTATGGCGCATCTCCTTTGCTGCGCGCAGCATACTCAACTCAGGAAAAGCTGATCCGCGCCTGTGTGCTGGGGGGGTTAAAAATAGAAATAGCCTCCTAATGGAGTTTGGCCTTGTGCCATTTACAGGGTTCCCTGCTGGTTCAGATGATCCCGATTGGAGTGTGCCTAGAAACTAAGCAAAGTGGAGGGTGGTCATCTCAGCCGCAATCATGCCAAGTATCTGTGTAAGTCGAATTCAACCGGGGCTTACACTCGATTCTGCATCACAAAGAGCAAGTGCCAGCAATATCATAGCTTCGTTTTTAACCGTCATCATGTGAGTGGCTCAACCGGGTGTTTGGGGAGTTGGATGACCCGCATGGGGGCTTGTTTCCATAACGTGTAAGTCTCTTTGGCGTTGAGTAATAACGGAACTAGGAATACCTGCAACTTTGGTTTTTTCATCCTAGTCCCTTCTATTTTTATATCTGAGAGCAACATATAAAGACCCCGAAGAATCTCAATCAGGCGTTGGTTCTGAATCGGTCATCATCTACAAACCAATCAACTCTCTTCTGTCTCAACTTCAACCAAGCCCTGTACTCTTTTCGCTACTTTTCCAACATGAAGGTCCTTATTGTTGCCAACATGCTAGCCATGACCGCCACCATGGTCACAGCCTTCCCAGTCACCGCCGACTCTCTCAACTGCCGAGCCGAGCCCAACACCAGCTCCGCGGTCAAAAAGACGTACAAAAAGACCGACGACGTCAAGATATCCTGCCAAACCGAGGGACCCTCCATCAACGGCAACTCCATCTGGGACAAGACCCAGGACGGCTGCTACGTCGCCGATTACTACATCAAGACCGGCTCCTCTGGCTACGTCACGGGCAAATGCGGCGGCGGCGGCGGCGGCCCCAACCCTCCCCCGTCCGGCGGTTTCTGCAAGACGCTCAACAAGGCCGGCACCGACCTCATCACCCGCTGGGAGGGCTTCGTCGACCGACCCAAGCCCGACCCCATCGGCCTGCCCACCGTGGGCTACGGCCATCTGTGCCAGAAGAAGAGCTGCGCCGAGGTCAAGTACACGTTCCCGCTGACCAAGGCCACGGCTCTCCAGCTTCTCAACGACGACCTGCCCAGCTACACCAAGTGCTTGGGCAAGGTCCTCGACGCCGGCAAGGTCAAGCTCAACGAGAACCAGTGGGCTGCCCTGACCTCCTGGGTGTTCAATGTCGGCTGCGGCGCTGCCCAGTCCTCGAGTCTCGTCAAGCGGCTTAACCGTGGCGAGAATGCCAACACTGTTGCCTCTGAGGAACTGCCCAAGTGGAAGATGGGTGGTGGCAGGGTCCTGCCTGGCCTTGTTAAGCGTCGCGCGGACGAGGTCGCGCTTTTCAAGATTGCTTCTTCTAGGAGTGCTTTCCCTCAATGCCAGTAGGTCAAGTGCTTCGATTGCAGTTTATTTATATCGAGACTTGGAAGCTGTTTTGGAGATTTATACTTTTCTTCTATTATGTATTTGGCTGTATTGACCTTGTTTGTTGGACAAATTCGCACTACATGGCGGATTGTAAATATGCGCTGCACATGTTTTTAATTTAGACGTACCTTCTCAGGCTCTAATAAAAATGTTGCCCAGCTTCAAATACTGTTCAAGGTTGTTTATTTGAATTCTGCAAACAACAGTGTAAACCCGCAATATTTTCTTGTTTATCAATAACTTATTGTCAATGGAATATAAATGGTCGGTCTAATGGCATAGACATGAACGAATACTGTTCTTGTGGCATAATGTTCCTGCTCTGCGCTAAATCTTGTCGGTTGAGCAATTCGATTTGGTTTAGACAGTAGCCGTCAGGGCCAAGAGGGCATAACTATAAGCTAGGTACTGGGGATATTCTATGGTGTAGCAGTCAAGTTGATTAATAAGGAATTTAAAGTGACCCCGACATGTGTCCGTTGGATACCGAAAGGGGCTGACCCGTACCTAACCAATATTGTCAATGACCTCGCCGATACTTGGTGCTTTAAGCCTCCACCAATTATGCCCTCAAAGGCGGGTACCATATTAATTACAGAGTTGGTAGTTGGTTCTAGATGCATGTTTGCGTACAGCGCAAATTTTGTTAGCCACCAAATATGGTTGCCGTTCCGATGAGCAATTTTAACGCAGGCCGTGTATTATAATAAGACGGTGGAGGTCGATTAGCGGTGACCGGGCCATGGATATTGCGTATCGAATGAAAGGCGACGATAGTTATTTCGCCGTGGAAGTAGGCCTGGCGTCTGGGTAAGTTGCCCTCCGTGTTCCCTTTGAACCTAAATTGTTGCCGTCACAGTATCATTAAGACCCATGTACTCTCTTAGTTCTATGCGTCCCTTTTCTTGTATGAACAACCATGCTATTTGACAGGATTTGAAAAAATTAGAACCCTTCTTATGATAAGATGTAGAAACTACGCCGAAACGGTTTGTTTCATCAACAGAGCTGCATTGCCCTACGGTCAATCATACATAGTTGTCTGTCCTGGTCACACAAAGGCAGGCCACCCTTTCGGCCAAGTAAAATCCACACCTATCCATCATCCACTAGTTACGGCGAACTGGCGTGCCAGATACATTCCGTTAGTTAGATTAGATCCTGTCAGAAGGCGGTGCAAGGACCCCTGGCCATCAACTCCCCTGATGCTCGTTCGGAGCCGTGTTTGACAGATGTTTGCCTCCAGCAGGCCAATGGGAACGTCTAATGGCCCCGCGTATGAAAACGAGATTGCAGATAATATATACCACTCACTCATCCTCCAGGCCGAACATTGGCGGTTCAGTTCCTGGCTCAGCCACTAGACGGCGTTGAAGACATCTCACCGCAGGATTCTAATTGCAGCCCGTGTCAAGAGCCAACAAGACACGCTGACGATTAGGCCGAGCATTGGGGGTACTCGGCTGTGGGCCAGCAATACCGGATATGGCAGCAGCAGCCCAATAACCATCGTGACGGCCCGTTGGAAAGGGTTGCAAGGTGGATATGATGTCTTGAAAAAACTGCGCATGTGGTTCGCGTTCCCGTTTTGGTGGCAGTGCAACCTGTAACAAGAGAGGCATTGCTATCCTGAAATGACCCTCTCAACTCCCTTGCAGGCTGTTTATAGCTGCCAAATGCCTGACATGGTCGTGAATGACTGAGGTCCCCCACTTACACGGCTACATCTTCAGACGACACGATTCTTGCATCTTGAGCATTTCTAAAGTGTCAAGCGTCAATATCTCTGTTTATACTATTACGCCATGGTTGATTGAAACTCCAAGAAACAATCACATTATCAGATTCTGCAATGAAAATACCAGTGACAAGTCTGCTTTTTGCTCTGCTCTGCGCCGAAACCACAGGTCTTTCCATAACGCCAGGCGACGATGGTACGTCTCGCCAAGCAGCAGCCAGTCTTGGCTAGATTTCCTAACCACAAACCAACAGCATCGGTCAAATCGGCCGCGAGCACAATAGCCTACGGCCTGATGAAGTACTACACCGGAAACAACACGGGAGACACACCCGGGAACCTCCCGTCCCCCTACTACTGCAAGTCTCCCCCTCAGCACCAGCTTCTTTGGGCAAAATTAACCAATCCCCAGGGTGGGAGGCGGGAGCCATGTTCGGAACCATGATAGACTACTGGTACATGACGGGCGACACATCCTACAACGCAGCGACGAGCCAGGCCATGATCCACCAGGCCAGCCCAACGCGCGACTTCATGCCCATCAACCAAACGCGGACCGAGGGCAACGACGACCAAGGCTTCTGGGCCATGGCGTCCATGAGCGCCGCCGAGAACAAGTATCCCGACCCGCCGCCCGACAAGCCCGGTTGGCTCGAGCTGACCCAAGCCGTCTTCAACCACTACGTCTCGCGCTGGGATGAGGATAACTGCGACGGCGGCCTGCGCTGGCAGATATTCACCTTCAACGCGGGGTATAATTACAAAAACTCCATTTCAAACGGGTGCTTCTTCAACATTGCCGCCCGGCTGGCGCGGTACACGGGGAACAGCACCTACGCCGACTGGGCAACAGCCATATTCGAGTGGGAGCAAAAGGCGGGCCTCATCACGAGGGAATTCGCCGTGCTGGACGGCATACACGTCGGCGGCGGCGGCGGGACGTGCGTCAACCGCACCGACACGCAGTGGTCGTACAATGCGGGCATCTTCCTGCACGGCGCTGCCGTCATGTACAACTTGACACGGGGCGAGGTGTGGAAAGCCCGGACCGACGGGCTTGTCAGGCACTCGCTGGGGGAATTTGCCAGGGACGGCGTCATCTTCGAGCCGGCGTGTGAGCCGGTCAGGGGGTGCGATTATAATGGTCTCTCGTTCAAGGGGTACTATATACGCTGGCTGGCGGCGACGATCAAGATGGCTCCTCATACGTATGAGGTTATATACCCTGTTATGAGGAAGACTGCGGAAGCGGCTGCGCGGGCGTGCTCCGGGTCGGATGTGTCGTTTAGGGGCGTTCCGGGGACGGCGTGCGGGTTCGCGTGGACGGATGGAGGCAAGTTTGACGGACTGGTTGGTGTTGGGCAGCAGATGTGCGCGCTGGATGCCGTCATGTATACTCTTGTGGATGGGGTGGGTGCTGCGGTGACGCATGATACCGGCGGCACGTCGAGGGGGAATCCGGCTGCTGGGGGGGAATCGGATGATAGCCATTTACCGCTTCCAAAGGCAATTACTGCTGGTGACAGGGCTGGTGCTGCGATTATTACCATTATTTTTGTGGGCATTGGCATTGGGGGGTCTGCGTTTATGCTGTGGAATGAAGACCTCTGAGCATGGTTTGGGGGTTGCTATTATGATGGGGGTTATAGATGTGATGAAGTTGTAAAGTGATTTGGAAAAAATGATTAGACGCATATGATGGGGAGCGGTGTTTATAACTTGGTAGGCTGTTTCCAGCGTTATTCTAGCGTGGTTTCTGCAAGACCTGAGTATGCACATCTCGATCCTGTTATAGGCTGTGGTAATATGTTAGTTAGTGTTCATGTTACAAGTGCTGGTCGTGTGTCAGGATGGCTGGCGGAGAACCTTGAGAATGGCCAAAGAAGCAAATCAACGCTTCTCATGGTGTGAAAGTAGTTGAGAGTTAAAGAACACATCGGGATATACAACAGGAAACCATCCAGCAATGGCAGCAAGAAGAACAACCAAAACCCAAGACCAAGGCTGAACGCGTACAGTCACACGCTCCAAAAGACACACTTGCCTCTTGAAGCCACTGGTCGGCTCTTGGCCGCTCTTTCCTCAACCCGCTCCTTTGAATTCGCCCTATAGTATAAAGAGCGTGGAAAACAGATTGCTTATTTCAAACAAGCCTGACATGTTGTAAGCTAGTAGTCAAAATCAATTACTATACATCAAACTACAAGATTTAGAGGCTTGCAATTATTAAATGTAGCAAACTATGGCAGTAAAGGGTATGGGTGATTGCTGACATCAGGGCCTCTATTTATAACGAACCTCGTAAATGCCTAGAAAACATGAGTATAAAGCTGCCTGGAGTAATTGCCATATTCAGGTTAAGGTTGCGCCTTTCGCGGTGAGAAATCCGAGGCGAATTGCGGGACGATCCGAATTTGGCGCCTGTGCAGTACCTTGCAGACAAAGATTAAAAAATCAACACCGATTCGCGGAATCACACTGACGAAGTAGATAAGACTATCAATGACAGGATAGCACTACGTCCTGTAGACTGCTTTGCTAACTCTGCGGGAAGTTACACGAGCGAGGCAAAAGAGAAAAAAAAAAAAGGCGCAAAAAATTGACCGAGACAGGGGTCGAACCTGCGACCTTCTGATTACGGATACTGAATAATGATGATCGTAGTCAGACGCTCTGCCATTGAGCTACACGGCCTTTGATGTGTTTCGTTGGTAGCATTCCATTTATTATGTCTTATAAACCTGGCGGGCTGGATGACGGACGGCATTAGCTGGTCGAGGGACAGCTGGCTCGGGTCCCTTTGGATCAGCTTTGGAGTACAATTTCAAGATTACGCCATCTATTCTCATTCTGATGCGGGCAGCCGACGTTGACCGCTCGGGGGTCATTACCCATCAACATTATGGACATGTCGTGCATGTGTCTGCCCCATCTCAGAGTGATCCGAGACAGCAACCAGTATCCTGGGTCAAACGCCCTGCGGGAATACTCGCAGCTCTAGGCGCGCGCAAACACACGCGAAGCGAGACACCAGCATCGCCAGGTAAATCATCACCAGTGCAGTTGGTGCCATACTATTGAATACTAATATTATAATCACAACATCTAGTCTGCAGACATGACGCATCCGCCAAACCTGCGGCCGTTGCATATATTCACCCCCATCTCCCTCCATCAGCCACGACAGTTTTACGCAGAGCACGATTGCGCACTCCCACCCGGGGACTCAGTACACAGAATCAGACCGACTACCCTTGTGGCTGAGCGGGTGTTTAGAAACCAGCGCCAGCTCGTCATTGCCCATGTTTTGCGCCTCATAATGGACACTCGACGTGTCGACGTGAAACGACCTCGTCAGCATGATTTCGTTATTCCGCGACGGCGTGTTGCTGGACCCGGTGCGCCCGTAACCGCTCTGCTTGAGGTACGACGACCCGCGCGTCTTTTGAATATACAGCGCCGACACGGCCGGCAAACAAGCGCAAATAAGGCCAATGCCCACCTCGGCGTTCCTAAAAGACAAGTCAGTAGAGACACACACAAACGCGGCTGGATTCTCTGTACCCCGACAAAATCACCTGCACAAAGACAACCGTCTGGTTGGCGCTCCTGCGCTCCGCAATGATCAGCACCAGGCGGTATATACTAAAGGCGGTGGCGATGCCGCCCGCGCACAGGATCCCGCTGACGCGCAGCCTCTTCCTCCTCGGCAGCTGGAGGGACCAGGTGAGCGGCGTGGGGAGCAGCAGGATGGTCAGGTCGCTGATGACGCTGATGATTGCGTCGGAGGTGATTATGGCCGACTGGTTGAGGCACTTGTCCCGCTCGCCGCGCCAGTAGGCGGATATGGGCCAGCAGATGAAGAGCTTGATGAAGAAGCCGGAGCCGTAGTAGGCGACGAGCATGCCGATGAGGACGTAGACGCCCACGAGGGTCTTTTTGTGGACGGAGCCGAAGACGCGGATGATGATGACGAGCAAGGCCAGCTTGACTGCCAGCGCCATGGGCGCGTAGAAGAGGGTGGCTGCGTAGCCCGACTGCCGGGCGTCAGTACATTTGGGGTGTGTGGTTTTTTTTGAGAGTCTTCGCACCTGGAAGAAGGGCTGGATGTCTTCTCGGCGCACTTCCCATTGGTTGAGGCCGCCGCCGTGCATGGACGCTGCGAGGTTGGAGGTTGTGTTAGGCTTTGGTGCGAATGTCGGTGCGAGTTGAGGCTACTTACCGAACACGGCGGTGATGCAGTACCCGACCATTAGCACCTAGCTACATGTGTCAGTTGTCGAGGTTGCGACGGGTCTCTTTTCGCACTCACGTATGCGATGTAGGTTGCATCTGTCCGAAGAGCAAGAGGGTCAGCGTGTTGTCGCGACCGTCACAGAGGCAGCACTTACAGTCGTCGATGGTGACGCCGCCGCCGAGTATTCTCGACTTGGCGTACAGGCGAGTGAGGACAAAGGCCGTCGTGAGAAGCAGCGTCAGGGCCTGCGTGACATAATTGACTGTTCTCAAGACGTCCTGGGGGTTGTCGAGGTCGGCCGTGGCGCCCGGTGGCGGCGGAGCGGCGCCGGGATAGCTCATGTTGCCCGCCGAAGGGGTTTTGCTTTCCGTGTCTGTCGGTGCAATCAATGCTTCGGTCCTCGAGCGCAGAGCTTCATTCATACATGTGTCGCTGAGGGCACACGATGCTCGCTTCGACCAAGGCACCAGGCGCGGGTTGTAGTTTCGGGGAGCAGCGACTGAATCCCCATGACCCCCCCGGAATATCATAAGACGGGACAAGATTGTTTCTTGCTCGGCAGGCGGAAATTTGAGGCCACGCCGGGGCACTCATGCGGTTCGCCTGCCGCTCCTACTGGCACTCGAGACGAAACTTGCTTCCAGAAACGTGGGCGCCGCAGGCTTAATTCGGCTATTATACGGCATGTACTAGTACCAGTACCAGACTATGAGAGAATTCCCTATTCCCCCATGTGTATGCTGCATAATCGCATGTGCCATGGCCCACCGGCTTTCATGCTTTCGGCCACGATGCTTGGCCAGGATGCGCCAGCCCCTGTTCTTAAAACAGGGGCAAACGTGAGGGAAATGCGCTCTGCGCCATCGTGGCCATGCAAAGCCCTCGTTGCGCGGGTTACATCCGCCGGTCCTCGTGTGAAGGCGGCAGGGCAATGCGAGCCGAAGCGTCGACGGTGTAACAATCTGCTCAAAAAGGTAAACTCAACCTTCAACGTTGGATTTGATAGGAAACTTGACCCTTCAGCTAACCTCTTTTGCGCACCAAGGCGGGCTTTGATCCACTTGGCCTTTTCCAGTCCGGCAGAAGCAGCGGTCCATGACTTGCTCCGTGACAAAGGCGAAACGTGGGCGACTTGGCATCGCAGACGTCGACGGTGCTGCCCACGCGCGACCATGGCATCCAAGGCATCCAAGGCATCGGGTTTCGTTCTTGTCGTGGCCATGATACGGACACGTTTTACACCGCATATCCACCTCATCCCCTGACACGTCTCCATCATCAACCAGACATGGACGGCTTTCTAGCGCCCGCGCACCGCTCGTCTTTACAACCGACGCCGACATGGATGGCAGAAATTGCGAATGTCAACCATTTCCCATTGGTTTCTCATCGTCAGACTGCCCCGGCGCAAAACTGGGTCAGGCGCTTGATATTGTTCGCCAAACATGTCGACGGTCGAGGGTGCTTGGTTGGCTGTTTGGCCCTGCCCATACACAGTCTGCGGCAGAATATGTATATTGCCCGCATGGATTGACGTGGAAAGCGACACATGACGCAATATTGGACTTGCCCTCTGTCAGGGTTCCTTGCCATTGACCTTTATAATTCTGACTGTCGCGCGTACAGAAGTCGTGTAACAGGGCGCCAGAAAATCAGCAAATCTGCCGCTCATTCCTCGCACGCAGTCCCTTGTACCGCATCTCGATCATACTCTTGTGCCCTCCCAACGTTGCACTCTGCTTTTCCTTTTCGAACCCTGTACTGGGGTTTTCCGTCTTGGCGATACTCTGTGTTGGCAGTTGTCCACGCCAATATTGACCCTTCCTAACCACTTATACACTTGGCGTTGCCGGCCAACGCCTTCGTCGGGGCATCAACACGATGGGCGAACTCGCCAACGCTCACTGGGATTCAAAGCTGTTCCAGCCTTTAAAGATTGCCAATGGCAAGATTGAGCTAAAGCACCGGGTTGTCCACGCCCCCCTCACGCGCAACCGCGGAACGCCCCTTTCCGACTCGACACCCGAGAAACCAAATCGTGTCTGGGTCCCCAACGAGCACGTCGTCGACTACTATTCCCAGCGAGCCACCGCCGGCGGGTTGATCATCTCGGAAGGCCTCCCGCCCTCCCTCGAGGTGATATTCTCCCCCCCGGACAATGTAGACCCCAACTCGCCGAATGACAACCTTACCTTAACTTGACGTGTAGGGAAATGCCATGCCCGGCGTCCCCGGGCTGTTTCGCCAAGAGCAAGCCGCAGGATGGAAGAAGGTAGTTGACGCCGTCCACGCCAAAGGCGGCTACATCTACGCGCAACTATGGCACTCGGGCCGGGCCAACATCCCCCAACTCACCGGCACACCCATCGTCGCGCCGTCGAGCGTGCCCTGGGACGACCCGGACGAGCACTTCCCCTACCCGCCGCCTCACACCACCGCCCAGGTCAAACTCGCCGACCACCCGCCGATTGCGCTTACCCAAGACCACATCACGAGAACCATTGGCGACTTTTGCGACGCGGCCAGAACGGCCATGGACGTCGGCTTCGACGGCGTAGAGCTCCACGGCGGCAACGGCTACCTGCCCGAGCAGTTCCTCAGCTCCAACGCTAATCAGCGAACGGACGAGTACGGCGGGACCCCGGAGAAGCGGTGCAAGTTTGTCATTGACCTGATGGACGGGCTGGCGAGGACCGTGGGCGAGGACAACCTGGCCATTCGCCTGACGCCCTTTGGCCTGTTCAACCAGGCGCGCGGCGAGCAGAGGGTCGAGACGTGGACTCACCTCTGTAGAGAGCTCAAGCGGCGCCTCCCGCGCCTCTCGTACGTCAGCTTCGTCGAGCCGCGGTACGAGCAAATCTTTTCCGAGGCGGAGAAGCAGGCGTTTCTTGATTCTTGGGGTTTATCGCGTGTGGACTTGTCTGTGTTTAGGGGCATTTGGGGCGACACGCCGTTCTTCTCGGCTGGTGGGTTTGACGACGGGAACTCGTGGGGGCTGCTGGAGGCGGGACGGTACGATGGGCTGCTGTACGGGCGGTATTTTATAAGTAATCCTGATCTTGTGGCTAGACTGCGCGAGGGGCTGCCGCTGGCGCCGTATGATAGATCTACGTTTTATGGGCCGTTTGCTGATCCTGTGGTGGGATATACGGATTATCCGGCGTATCGGGATGGCACGACGTAGGCGCGACGTAGGCACGACGTAGGCACGACGTAGATCACTTTGATAGATGAATGACGAATCAACTGTGGCAAGTCTGCTTGGCAAAGACGAGTTTGTGCTGATGCTACCAATGGCCGTTGTGGAGAGTCTTTGGTTGTTGATGGAGAAGCTTTTCTGATGGTCCGGCTATTCCCGCCCGTTATATTTTGCATCCTTGTACATTTGTTTGGTATGGTCCCGAGCAAAATAGAGTACAATCCGCTATTGTGACGTGGCCGATAGAGTTGGACGACGGCAATGGCCGAGAAATGGCCTGACCTGTGGAAATAAGTCGGTTAGCCGGATGGAGCACGAATAGCTCCCGCTGTCAAATTAAGCTTACATGTAGCACCATGCGAGGCTCTCCGCAGGGTCGGTTCTGAGCCTGGTAAAAGATGAAGTTCATCCAACTTTGCACAATGCTACTTGAATCTGTATCCATGCAGACATGTCCACAAAGAGAGACCGAGCTGCGTGACTACTGCGTTTCATGAGAGGCGGCAAAGTCTTTTATTTTGACCTGCCCTTGACGGCGTGTATAATAGCATCAGGAGGAGTTGCTTATTGTTACAAAAAGACTGTCACACGGATGACACGTTGCCATGAAGGCACGGGCCGAACCTTGAACCCGACGATAGTTACACAAGGGCTCTGATCACGAGACCTAGGGAAAGGCTCCTCACCGCCTCTTGATATAAATAAAGGTCTTCCGCCCTCAGGGCTTCAAGGAAAACCAAGGACCTTTGATACCAAAGACTGTTATTAGATGAATTGAGTAATTACTCCAAGCTAGGCCCTTGTCACGAAGACACTTCTGTTGGCCGTCGTTGGCTAAATTCTGACGCCCCAAGGATGTCTGATATAAAAGAGTCAATACACAGCTCGACAAGCACTATAGCATTGGGCACCCCATGTGTAATTTCAAAACTTGACAAGGGTTGAACAAAGCAAAGTAACAATTCCCATTGGTTATATAGTGCCTACACAGCAAACACAAACAAAGGCTTTGTCATGGGCCCTCTCTGATAGTCCAAGGTCGCACAAGGTAGACTGCTACATATCTTATTCGGGGCTTTTCCACTGCTGCCGTATATGTGGTGGTGTCTGCTTGAAAAAAAAGTTGCAAACTACTAAGCGACAAATCACTCCCTCACACATTCAAACGGCCAACACCGAAACCACGAACGCGCTTTGGCCGCCCCGAAGGTGAGATGTGTATAATTCACCGAGTTCCAGGCCGAAAGGCTGCAAGGTTGGAACATCAGAAAATGACAACAAGTTCTTCCTCTTGTCCAGCATCATCTATCAAGTCGGCTTTTCTTTGCTGTCGGGTATGATCAAAGTCACCCACACTATATCGGTACATGGAAACCAGTCGAGCATCTATAGTATCACATCGGTACGCGCAACGCAATCAAGTACGGCCCGAGCTGTTTCCAAAGCGTCATGTCCCAGGTAGAGCGAGTGTAATCAAACTGAGACACGGCAGTTAGGCATCAGCGCGGCACTCTATCCAATGACATCACCGCCGATATGGAATCACGGTTACACAATCATGCAAGCCGTTGGCAATCACAAAGCGGGGTCGCAATGAATAAACGGCAAACGCCTCAGCTGCTACTTCGTACACCATGTTTGGATTCGGCTGTATAACCCAGCAGCAAACATACATGTTTGGTGTAAGACGCGTTCATCATGCTCGGTCCTCACACTCCCCAGAGGCACCCTGCCACGGCCAGTCCGTCTTGTCCCCGGCTGACAGGACGCATCATGTGGCTGCCGACAAGGGACACGATGGACTTGGGCTTCGAGCCCGGCGTCTACAACCACCCCGTCGTTGTCCTGTCGCCCATGCTGAGTGCCGGCGAGGTGGACTTTTTCCCGGCAAGTAGCGCTTCATCCCCGTGCCAGAAGGGGGCCGTTTTGCTAACCCGTCGCCACCGAATAGTTGACTTCGTTTGGAGGGACCAGCCTCGTGGACAAGTTTCCTACCGAGACGAAAGCCAGGGGCCGTTACCTGCCTATCAAGCCGAGTGCTCCTCATCCCGACAACAAGATACTGCTCGAGCTGTGCGAGGCCGAGGACAGGCTGATAAAGGACTCGTATGTGAACATCGGCAAGGTTCTCAGAGCTAAATTCAAGGCACTGCGGCCCTATGTATCGCACCGGCTTCGGACGCCATATCTCGCGGATAGTTCGTACCGTCAGCTCATCTTGCATGCTCAGTATCCGGTTCCCGGTCAGTTGCCTCGTGGAATTGCTGAATACGGCTGGACATTGGTGCTGCCTCCCTCGCAGACTGCAACAAGGCCTCAGAGGTCGCGGTACGATATCCCGGACCGGCCCGTTTACGGCGGGATAAAATCGCCGGGCCGCCTGCCGACATCGTTTTCGTATTCCCAGACGAGTGTCACGCGTCAGGCACGGTACAATGAGCGAGCACCTCTGTTGCCGTCTCCCCAGCCTGCGAATCCTCCACGGCCTCAGAGGTCGCGGTATGATATCCCGGACCGGCCCGTTTACGGCGGGATACAATCGCCGGGCCGCCTGCCGACGTCTTTTTCATATTCTCAGACGAGCGTCACGCGTCAGGCACGGTACAATGAGCGAGCACCTCTGTTGCCGTCTCCCCAGTCTGCGAATCCTCCACGGCCAGCTCTTACAAGGCGAATCTGGGGACGGGTTACTCACGCAGGGTACTCACGACGACTGTCGATAGACTGGATCAAGGTCTTTGCGTTCTTTTGGGCGCTGGTGATTATCCTTGCGGCAGGCTACGGAATATATTGGCTCGTGGAGCACTTGGTTCAGCTGGTGGCGGCATGTTGGCTGTGGCTGCAGCACGCCGTCACACACATGGTGGCGGCTATCAAGAACTGGTTTGGGAATCTGCTGGGTCACGGGGAACTCATCTAGACCGAAGGCGTTGCAAAGTAACCTCTTGTGCAGCCCTCATCTGCGGAAGCCTACGTGTCTATGCACCGGGTGTGCCTTGCGAGCGTGGGTGGAAATGCAAGTTGTATTGCTGATGTTATGACAGCGGCTACCGAGGCAGGATAGTCGTTGCGACCAGAGGGGAGATTGATAATCATTTTAGGCGCTTGTTGTTTATTGCTGGATATTGCGGCTAGGAAGCTTAGAATTTGGAATACAGCACCGTACTATTTTGGCCTGATCATGAGCCTTGACACGTAAGCCGTAAACTATCAAGCAATTCGAACAGATGGTTCGCAATGGATTGTTTGTTGGCTATGGGGGATTATGACCCTGCTAAGCTTCCAATGGGCATCTTCAAATACAATCGTGGTTTTAATGCGACGACTGGGAGTCTTAAATTTAAGGTTATCTAAATTCGACGGGAAGATGCGTGCATCTCCACGACGGCTACGACGTCACATACTTCTCCCCACCTTGTGCAACATAAAGGTGAGGCCGAAGTACTTGGGTCAATATCGAGTTGCCTCGGAACCAAGGGTAGGCAGAGCATCATGATAACAACAGGACGGATATCGCATTGGTGACTTACGACATCACACGACAGCATGTTTCCACCAAGAGTCTACCACGGCATTGGTACCATGTACGATGTAGCTCGTACAGAAACCGGAATCTACGTCCCTGCCAAAGCTAGAATGAGGCAGGTGATGCAAGTAGCAATCAACAAGAGCACTGTAGTGTCAGACTTGTTGGGTGCTAGGACCTGAGAGAATCTTCTATAGCATCAAATACGCTACAAGACCAGATCGCCTATGATGGCTTGCCCCAGAGCCATTGTCCCACTGATCCAAGGTCAACTCATCTTATTTCTTGCCATCATGGAAAGGAGAATATAGAGACGTCTGCCGTGTCCCTATGCCGAATCAATGTCCTATGAGACAAGGCGGTACAGCCGAGCAGTTTCACCAATGCAAACCCCGCGACGACGATTGTAGGTGATGGATCAAGTACCGTATCCGTTACGTCCCGGAATTGGGCTATTTGGCAACATGGTCAGCGTCAAGCAGCCGCATCACCATCATCCACAACCACGCCTCGCTCCCTCAGCAACCCAATAGTCTCTGCCGTCCATTCCTGACAGCGCCGAACCGGATACGCCGTGATTTTCCGAGCACCCTCAAATTGCTTCTCGGGGGCGGGATTAGACCTGCAAATCGCATCGATGCGCGCCATGTCGTTGGCGGAACTCCATCCCAGCCTCGTCTGTCCGTGGTAAGAAGGGTCAGTGTCTGGCGCGGCATCGGTGGCCTTCATTTCGTATCTCATCCCCTGTTGGATATTGCCAGTAACGTGGAATATGTAGCCGCCACCGCCGCGTGAAGTCTCGACGAAAATGGCATGGTGGCTTCTCGGGAATCCGAGGGACTCCACGAGGAAGACGCGAAGGGACATGGCGGGCGAAAGCAAAGAAGAAGGAACAAGGCAGAAACACTGCGGCCATGGCGTCAGCTTAATACTATAGCGGTTCTCGGATCGGGAGTCGGAAGTCGAGCACGAAATGGCCCCAAAGCGGGCAGTTTGGCGGCAGGAATGCGGGGTTGCCCATGGGGCTCAACGGCCCGGGATCCGAGGTGAAGGAGGTCACAGCGTGGCTTGCTGGGATACAAGACGTCTAGAAGATGCAAAGAAGGCCCTTTGTCGGTGGCATGGTAAGACAGTCCAGATTCAAGCTTATTTTTTTTTTGGGCGGATTTGGACGCAGAGACGGACCTTGACGGGTTGTGGCCACGCCGCATGGGCAAGGGCAAGCAAACACCGACCCATGAGTTTTGGACTGCTTTTCCGGGCGGGGGGACTCGAGGGGAGCGGGCCGTCGGCGTCTGCTACATATGAATGGCGTCGCAATGAGTGGCTGGCCACCGCGTGGCGGGCCGCCGTGTTGCCGTCGGACACTTTTGATCGGCGAAGGGAAGGGGAAAATTCAATTCGCTGCTTGTGCCACGAGACGCCTCGGCGCAGGCGTGTCGAAAGGCATCCGGAACCATGGCCGTGAGAGGGACGCATTGATGACGGCGCAAGACATTGCTCAACCCGTGACGGGCGGCTGCGCCTGCGTCCTCATCACCGCTGGCGTGCTTCGGGCCATCGGCGTCTGCCCTGCTCACTCACAGAGCCACGCTGCCTTCACCGTAGTCATTGATGTGCGCCGATCGTGGGAAGGAGCCACTTGCCACCAGCTCCAGGGCATCAATCGATTGGTCCAAAGGCGCCACCCGGCTCCACAAATTGCCCTGCCCCTTCCTGTCAACGGCGGCCTAGCGCGCAGGAGTTGCAGAGTCCAGACATGGAGGTCGGAGCATCGAGGTCCCCACTCCACTGAGTAGTCAGTGCCAGTCACCGCAGCCAAGTGGTCCGGTTTCTGCCCGCTTGGATTCTCGTCTTGCCCTCACAACCAGTCGCCGATTCAAATTTACCTGCTCGCTCAATGTAGTTGCTTTTCTGTGCTCTTCCTGCCGCCTGCCTGGATCATCTCAAACCGCCTTCGTTCTCTCATGTTTCTCGACGGCACACCCGAGTCTGCTCAAGCCAAACCCAACACCAACGCGCCCGAAACATCTCCGGCCTCATCGTCCTCGCCTTCGCCTGTCGCTTCGGCCCCTCGCTTGCCTGCTCTCCATGCTTGGTGTTTGCCAATCCGCTCGCCACTTGTTCACTCTGGCCTCTCCCTTGGGGCCGTCTTGTGACGCTGCATTTCTCTCAGGATCCGGCGCCCGCTTCGGGTCGTCGCCCTCCATCACCTTCTCCTGCTGCATCCCACATGTCCGCCAACGGGTTTGCCTCGCCAGTCATGGAACTGGACCGAGACACCTCAACCTCCACGCCCACAACATCTGCAATACCCTTTGAGCCCCATCAGTCCCAGTCCCAACCGCAGTCGGCTTCCCCGGCTCCGGATCACACACAATCCCACTCCAAGTCGGAATCTCACGGTGCCTTCTCGCCCGGTCAGCGGCCCAAGAAGTCTTCGACGACATGCTCAACTTGTCGCTTTCGCAAAGTCCGTTGTAACGGCCTTCGCCCAGTCTGTTCCAACTGCCAAAGGCTCGGGTTCCCTTGCTCCTATGACGACTCTGATGCCGATAACTGGTCCCTGGCCTTGCCGCGTCGCAGAGTCAAGCAGGCATGTCTGAGTTGCCATAGTCGCAAGGCCCGATGTTCCGGCCACATGCCCGCTTGCGACCGATGTCGCTCCCAGGGTATCGAATGCGTCTACCGCCCTGGGAAAAGAGCCAAGGGCACGGGTAGAGGCGGCTACGGCGAGGTTCGGAGCCCTCGTAGTCACGATGGTGATGACAAGGACAGGACAAAGGATCGGGATCAAGACAAACATGATGATAGCGACACACCCGTCACTGATCCGGCAAACACGCCAAGTACCTTTAACCACGAAATGTATGTGTCCTTTTTTATAAGCGTATGGGATAATAGGGCATGTCTCGGCTAACATGATGGTAGTCCCAGCATCGACGAGTCTTTTGATTCTCTGACTAGTCGCACCTTTGACCAATTCTTCCGCCATGTTCACCATATCCCCATGTACTCATTCTTGCATCGCGCATCACTCATGGAGCAATACAACTCTGGCAAAGTCGACAAAGCACTCTTGTTAGCCCTCATCGGCATCACATCGTGTTTGACGGATATGGGCGCTGGCGTGCGTGAGTACGGTGACCGTTGCATTGATCGCGCGGAACACCTCATCTTTTCCGATTACTCACGACCGTCGACATTCAAAGTCCAGGCCCTAGTCTTCATGATCAAGCACAGAATACTGTCCAACAAATACCCTAGCGCCTTTATGCTCCTGAGCATGGCGTCTCGTTTCGCTGCAGCACTACGCCTGAACCACGCCAGCCCCAATCTGTGCTTCTTGGCCCAGGAGTCTCGAAGACGGTTGATGTGGTCACTATACTGCATCGACACTGGTATTTCGGCGGGGTACCGGGATTTTGCGTTGTGGCGAGCGGACAGAATCTTTGTCAGCTTGCCTTGCAACGAACGAAATTTCGAATTCGATCTGCCACAAGCCGCCGAAATGCTTGACCCTGCAAGCAACGGCCCTGACATACCGCCCCCGGAAGACGTTGGGAGTCTGGCACTCCATATCCGCATCCTCCATCTGCGCCAGAAGATTATCGAGTTCACCAAAGATGTTCTCGTGGGCCGCACCATCACCGATACGTCAAGTCTGCAAGATCCCGTCCTAGCATTGCACAAACAACTAGACGACTTTGCCGGCCGACTCCCGTCTTCGTTTCAATTCTCCGAAAGCTCTCTCCGGCTGCGAGCATACTCTCCCAGGATTTGTGTTTTTGTCATGATCCACGTCTGGTGGCATCAATGCCATTGTGACCTATATCGCATGACCATGGCTGGATTCAGGGAAGCCCTGCCCGAGGCCACATTGCAAAAGTTGGACCCATCGTTTCTCGCTCACTGCCAACGCCAGTGCGTAGATCACTCCCTGGCCATGGCCAGCATATTTTCTTCCATGCATAAACTCGGGGCCAGGCCTGTGGCAGACCTAGATTTGGCCCTCTGCGCCTATCAGTGTGCTCGCATGCTAAAATATGCGTTCCACGGCGGTGCCCACAAGTTGGGGTTGACGGTCGAGGTGGTGACGGAAAAGGCCAAAGTTTGTCTGCATACCATCAAGCAGTGCTGCATGGGTCCGGCGGCAGGGGCCATTCGATCTGACCTGGAACGACTGATCAGCCAGGGTCTTGGGTCGGAAGTCTCCTCTCCCCAAGACACCATGGTCGACTCCAACCGGACCAACAGCGCTGGCACCGATGCCCCATCCAGACATCCCGTCCTTCGAAATATCGAGGTGACGGAGGAACCAAGCGTGATATCGACGACGCAGACAGTGGCATGTCGCACCAACTCGCACCCTCCGGAACCCTTCATCACTACGCCCGTAACAGCAGCCACCGCCATGCCAATGCAGACGTCGCTGTCCGCCCAGGAACTGGCCACCCCAAATGCTTGGACTACCGCGCCATCATTCCCCAGCATGGCAGCAGCTGTACAAGTCCACGCAGAGCCAGAGCCAATGGATTTGACAAACGCTTCCAATAAGTCCGATATTGGTGCAGGCGAACTAAACAGTGCTTACGAGGGAGCGCTGGAACTTTTCGACCAAGACAACGGACTAGCTCACGCCATGGGCGTCGAGTTGAGCCCTTGGAACTGGAGCAGTGATTTGCAGTGGCCCGATTTTCTGAGCAGCGGCGTGGGTGTGTGAGCTCGTATAGGGATCTAGGCATGTGCAATGTTTTTTAATGGCGGTACGACGATGAAATAACGTGTGATACCCGGCGGAGGCGAGCCAGACGTGTTTATACAAGTAACACCCGCTTTTGCATTACGGCGTTTATGTATGAGTGTAGTTGATATATTTGTAGCCATGAGGAGCAAATCATGTCAAGGGAGCTTGTTTAGTCTCATCCGAGGGGAAAATTTAAAAATACTATATAACAAAACCTCCCAACTCCGCAAGTCCGCCTTGACAAGGGTTAAATTTCGCTGGTTTATAAACTATCGTACATCCCCATGGTAAGTCACATCTCCACGTGGAACAAATAGCGGAGCTTGACTTGCGCCACGTCGTAGCAGATATATTCATTGTAGGCGAGATATGCGCCATCGACGTTGGTTGGGCCGGGGGCTACTTTTGTGTCGGGCTGTTCACATTAGCGTGATTCGGCGCATAGAAAAGGGTGTCCAGAAGAGAGCAGCAGGCGGTCAAGCTGGTGAAGCGGCAGCAACGGAGAGAATCAACATACCATTTTAATACCCTCCAGGGAATGGTGGACCGCTCCCGCGTCTATCCAACTACTGGGACCGGTACTGCCCATTCCCCAAGTACTGTACATGCCACCCTTCTGGGCATCCTCACCGGCGCTGTACGATGCATCAGTGAGTTTCTGAAGCGGGTCGCCTAGTTCAGCCTCGCAGAGGAGCAAAAGTGCGTGGCTATTGGAAATATAGGAGCAGCAGTAGTTGGCAGACTTGGTTGACATGTCTGCTAGGTAAATACCCTTTCCAAACATGTATCCCGACACAGGAGCCTCTGGGGGTGCGATTCGGAGTCCCTGGCTCAGAATACCGCCGAAATTGGTGCATCGTGAACCGTGCCAGAGAAGGCGCCTGTCGGATGGGATTTTGGTGAATACCGAGTCGTTGAAGCGTTCGTACTCGCCAGCACGCCGGATACGGAAAATGTTGCGGACCTTGTAGTTGATTCCATGGGTTGAGCCCTTGGATCCGTCGAGGTATCTGTGAAGGTAGTCGAACTCGGACGATGAGTGGTCTAAGGGCGTCATTTCACGCATGCCCAGCCCTTGAAAGTGGCTGTCCATAGGATGGACTGTCCGAGCCTTTGAGCGATCAATTTTCATGATGTTGGACGCGTCCTTCATGTCGGAAAGACTTTCGAGGAGCTCAATTTCCTTCTTAAGGAGAGCTTCATTGTTGATGATGGGCGGGCGATTACGACCAAAGGCGTGCGGGATGAGAGAGTAGTATGTATTAGAGAGGTGCTCTGTTGCTGATGCGACAGTCATGTCCCACTGTGAGGTGGCCAGGGCAGGATCGTCCATCAGAGAAGCAAGGTCCTTGAGTTGTTGGAAGCCTCTCAATATGGTAGCTTTGCTGAGCTTCCCGAGAGGCAGCTTGTTGGCGTCATAGTTAAGAGAGGACATAGTTGCGTCGAAGTAGTTTTGGTTGAAGATAAGCTCCATGACCTCGCGGACTTGTGCGGGAAGTGTGCATTCGGGAGGTTTGTAATCTTGTTCATTTTCCTTCTTGGCGTCGGGAGCTGTGTCTTGCTCGCCGTCTTCGGACTCATCGTCGTAGCTTCTCTCCACAAAGGCGTACTTGTTGGGTTTTGGGTCCTTGGTGCGGTCCTTCCAGGCAAGACCAGACTTATCTTTAAACTTCTTCTCAAAGTGCTTCTTAGCATCATCGAGGGAGCCGTCCCCGAGAATGGCATTCTGTCCCATCTCGCCAACGCGGCCCCATCGAGTCCAAGTTTTGTAGATCGAGCCTTGAAACAAGATCTGTGGGAGTCAATATTTTGCTTTGAGAAAAATGGTAGTGGAAAGTAGCGAAGGGGAAAACCGGGCGGCTTACTTGCAAGCGATAAAACTTGTTGTGATTATTTGAAGTGCTGGATTGGTTTAGAGAGGCGTCGTATATCATGCCGCTCCGCGGCTCAATATATACGGCATAGGCCTGAAGGGGACAACGCTCATCAACCGGAATAACAATGTCCTTCTTCTTCAAAAATTGACCTTTGGATAGCTCCTTGAGTTTCGTTTCAATGGTTTCCTCCTTGACTGAATCTCCTTGGTCTACTACTTCTTCTCTTTCTTCTTCTGCTTCATCCTTTACTTGAGCAGCCTTGCCTCGAGGCTTTTTGGCGACGTGCCCATCATCTGCTCCCGCATCTCGGTCACTGCTATTGGACTTGGCCACAGCGATAGGGCGCTTCTTGCTACGTCCATCTACACTGCAATCACCCGGGGTTTCGTGATCCCCCTGATCGTGTTGCTCTTCTGGCCAGAGATAGTTGCTTGGGTCCACGTTTGTCCTCAGCTTGGCCACTTCAGCCACCCACTCGGGCTTGACCAACGAAACGCCAGCGGCTTCGGCATCTCTGACTTTCGGAGCCTTCTTGAGGAAGTCCTTTTCGTCACAGACGAGATGCGTGTTGCGTCCGTTCACCGAGGGAGTCACAGATGCGCCAAGAGAAGTGAACAGGGTGTTGAGGTCCCTATGGGAGAATCCAGGAAACTTGCCAGAGAAAGCGAGGCGATGGGCCTGGAGGGGATTTGCTGGTACGGCTGTGGCTGCAGCTGTCCGGCGACCTCGCGTTGCAGGCATCGTGAGTAGGGATTGACCATTTATGAGGCAAAAAGGACGATGGAATAGGCCAATTGGAGAGAGTGAAAGAATGGTGAAGGGATGGAGTGGTCGACAGACGAAAGCGTTGGACGAGCACAGCATCGGGATGTGGCCGTTTTTATTATTTCGCCAGCTGGCCAGCAGCCGTCAAGGCCACATGCAGGCACGCAAGTCCACTGGAGACGATCAGACTAGTGCTGTGACCAGTTGAGCAGAGCACTGATTAGGCAAGCGCCGCCAGCAACTTCAAGCCCGTGCCACATCAGGGACCAAACATTAATCCTTTTTCTCCATGTCACTCGACTTTCAACCATTCCTCAGCCGCGTGCGAGAGCCCACTCGCCAGCGAACTAACGGCTCACTAGGCTGCGAGGCCCCGCCGCCGCTCCGTGAGGCGTCTTCCAGCGTCTCCATCCCGGTCCCAGCTCCAGGCACCAGCGGGTCAATTTCGTCACCGACTCCCACAGACCACAGACGCGAGACACCAGATGCCGGCCATGCCACCAACCTAGATTCTCATGACATCCAGACACGAATCATACACGACATCACGTGGCTACAACTCATCGTCTTGCTTCGTCTGGCTGCTTGGCGCCTGCGGAAAGTGGAGATGCTGCCTGTCTTCCGACGACGAAGTCTCTCATTTTATAGACAGCGCAGTCAATTGGCTGTGTCGTCGCATGTCGTGGCATAATCAGCCGACTATTCCAATTTCCGGACGTCGCCGGCGTTGCAACGTGAATTGCTCCACGGGCTTACTTTTTTTTGCTATGTTCACTTATCACCTTATTATTTACAAATATGCTAATATATTTAATTATATTTAGACGGTAAAACACACAGCAGTGCCAGGCAAATTACGGGGGAAGCATTGGGCTGTAATCCTGCAAGTCACGTACATGAGCCCATCTTCAGTAGGCACTATTAGCACAATCGTATAAATATATTGCACTATGAATGCATGCACTCTGCGTTGGCTATATCGTCAAACTCTGTCCCCATGTCCACCTCCCCGCCGCGTATCCTAACTGAGCATATCCCATGGCGCGTGTGTGGTGAAATGCACATGATCATTCGACTCCAGCAACTCCTGGATCAACAATTCCGCCGGATTAGGTATCTCCATTTCGTCGTCGTCGAACAGCCCTAATTCCAGTCCTATAACGGTATTAGCCTCGGGCTCACTCGTCGTCGCTATCAAGGTCATTTTCACCCTCAAGCACTTCATCCGTAACTAACTTCACTGTCAGCCATCCATCCACGCCGCAACCACCCCGTCCACAGCACAAGGCCTGATGACTTACTATCGTTGTCCTCGTCAGTTTCATCCAATGCTTCGTATGGCCACTGCACTTCCAGCTCCGGCATAATCTCGGTGACGAAATGCCTCCAGTCTGGGCCCGTGTACTGGCGTGTTGGGCCCCTCCCTTTGAAGGTGACATGTGCCGGCACGGGCTTCTCAATCCAATGTTGCTGCAGCATGCCCATCTTGAAATGCCTGAGCTCAAGGCACGGCATCTCGATGAGTTTTCTCAGGAAATGGGCCCAAAAATTCTCCTTGGGCGCGGGGCTGGGCGCATCCAACGGCAAGTGTCGCAACATTGTGACTTTCCACAGCTCCAGGATTTCTAGCGACGGTGCAAACTTAGAAATGAGCTTCAAGAGTCTGGGGGCGTCAATGTTCATAGTGCCGAGGCTCAGCTCCTGCAGTTTGGGCATCGAAATGCCCGTTCCGTCACTGCCACCGTCAACCATCCAGTCAATGAGGCTCACCAGCCCAACGGAGCTGGTCCGATGCTCGTTGATGCGCAGGTTCCGGAGGTTCGTCGCATGGGCCAGGAAGCTTCTAATAAACAAGTCTGGGGAATAGCGGCTGGAACCCATGATGGCAGGCAAGCCCATCTGCGGAGCGCGCCAGGACAGGTCGATGCACAGGTGTAGCTTTTCCAGGCCCTGAAGCACCGGCACTACGGACGGTTGCATGCATTTTGGGAGATTGAAAGCGAAGTCGCGCAGGTGGTTGGCATTCCGGGACAAGATCTCGATGCTCTTGATCCTGGCATTGGCCGCACCCAAGGCAGACAAGAGGGCGGTGAAGACCTGACTGCAATACTGGTACGGGAAGCCCGAGTTCCAAATTCCAGTCATGCCCTGACTCAAGCTAATGCCCGTGTCATGAAATGCCGTCGTGTAGCCGTAGCTGTGCCACTCGGCGTTGGGCCCGTCCCTTGAGCGGCGGTGCGAGTTGGCATCCCTAATGACGACCCCCTCTAAATAGGGGAGGTTGCGAAAGGCCTCGGCCATCATATGCACGTGGTGTCCAGTGTTCAATAAGGT